GTTACGTATTGCTCTAGGAATTTAACAACGGACTCACGTCACTAGCTTTCCGGGGGTTTATTCGTGGCTCCAAGAATATCAGCCTTTTACGTAACCTAACATATCATTCTCGATCGCACATTTTACCCAAATTATAAGACTTCGGCACATGATTAACGACATTATAACTATATTGACTAAAAATAAAAATTAAGAGTTCGCAGTAAATTACATACAAATATATATATATGTATTAAGTTTAGCTATGGACGTAAACCTTGGCAATCATTTTTGAACTCTCATAGCTACAAATTATTGGACCGTTTTGAGACATATTTGAACGACAACATACATAAACAAATCGAGCATCAATTCATAAGTCGAAAAGTATCTCAACAGGATATAATAATCGTCCTTCCATTAATATACCGAGCATATATTGATCGGAATGTGAATTTAACAGAATTAGTGAGAATTTTGCATGTATGCATTAGTTCACACCGTCCACAAGTTCTCGTATAGAGTACTCCTATAACTTATTGGCGATCTGCACAGTTAACTTTGGATTGACGTCCTATCTTAAGTAATTCCTCTCTTTTGACATTGTTTATAATATGCAAGACCTAAAAATAAATATTTAACAATTTTTCAAATTCAATTTACAAAAATAAATAATGCGCAAGTAAAGTATTTTACACAGAAAATTAAACAAACGCTTTGGCGCAAGATCTGCATACAAGTATGTATATGCGAGACGCAAATGCCACCAATAACGATAAAATTATGCATTACATGCTTTTGAGCTGCTTATGGTCTTTCTTTAGAAGCGGCTTTTATACAAATTAAACTGACCATGCAACAATTTTTATTGCAGATTTTGCGTGTTTTTCGATCTTCTGACATGCGAACTAAGGATTTCATATTTTCGCCTGTTTTGTTTGCATTCGCACTTGAGTTCACCAAAAACACAGATGTTTTACAACAACAATAAAGATTGCGGATTTACAAGCTTTTGTCTCGCGTCATAAAAATCAATAGTTAAAATATGAATTATTTGTGGAGTTCAAGGACAATCGAAGGCTTAGTTGGTTTTGGCAAATCCTTCGAGCCAAATGCCAGGCATTTTAATTTTGGCAGAGCTTTGTAGCAATATTTTCGTAAATCATTTAATTTCACAGAAATACCGAAATTTGCGGCTGTTTTTGCTGTTGGTTAATAATGAGTGTTGAGTTCGAAATATCTCATACGCCATGGCGGATGGCGAAATAGAATTTTGATAGAGAAAGTTTCAGTTTTTAAACAAATTTTCGTTTTCGGTGAAACATTGTTTTAATACATAATTTAATCTAACAAACAACAACTAAACAAAACAAAACTACAAAAACAATGAAAGAGTATAGTAAACAAATGTTACCATACGCCATGGTGATGGAGAATAATATTTTTATAAGCAACTTTTGTGTCTGAAAGCCTGCCATTTTCAAATTAATTTGCAATAAAAATTGTTAAGGAACTTCAAAGTATATAACGGTTTAGTGAAACAAAGCGAACTCAAGATAAACAGTAAGAATATTTCAGTTATAGACTTTCACTAAAGTTAATTTTATGCAAAACAAGAAAGAGCTTTAACACCGACTGCACGAAGCTATAAGACCCTTCACATGTTCATTTTTATAACTTAAAAGCGTATAAAAGCTCTTTATCTTGATTATGACTGATCTGTTTGTAGGCAGCTATATGCTATAGTAGTCCGATTCGAACCATTTTTGGAGATTGTAGTTGCCTTGAGCAATATTATTTGTCAAATTTAATAAAATATCTTGTCAAAATGCAAAATATAACAGAATGCCAAAAGTTAGAAAAGGTTAGAAAATGTTGCTCATACGCTATGGTGGAGAGAAATAAATTTTTAACACAATTTCCTATTTCTAATACCTTGGGGCATTTCGACGGATGCAACGATAAAACATTAACTTAATTTGAAACCATATAGAAACCATGAATGAAACACTCACCTTTAAAATTCGGCATATATGGACTTGAACATAATTTGCATCAAACTTTTAAACCCAAGCTATAATCTGACTTCCACTTCTTCTACTTTCATATTCCATACAAAACAAAAGGTGTCATCAACCGGGCGATTCGTTTCGTCGACGTTCGCAGCAACAGTTTGGCACCGGTGAGCCCATACACCCGCGCCTGGGTGGCGGTGGTGGCATTGGCGGCAGTGTTGGTGGTGGCATTAATGGCGATTACACGGGTGCACAGGATGAGCGCAACAACAACCTGCTGAGGTGTCTGTAGAAATGCTCGGCGCATCTGGCGTTGGCAACAGGCGTTGATCCAGCAATTTCGACGTCCGACTGCATTTAGCATACGATGGACCAGGTGAGTGTTGGTTAAAAAATAAATAAATAATGTAAATTAAGAAATTTATATTAGATTTAAGTAAATAGTATGAAAATAAAGAATTTTAGTTGTTTCAAAATCTCAGATAATAAAGCCTGATAAGGTATATAGGACAACTTGCTGATTAAAAATAAGTAGCTATATGCTACAATGACCTCGACCTGAACAATTTTGCATGCTAAATTTTGTAAGATAGCTTTCATATAAAATACTTTTCCATATAAGAGCTCGATTTCCATTGGTCAGTAGTATATGCTAGGGGGCCCACCTAAACGTATATTTGGAGATCGTAGATTGCTCTTCACAATAACACTTCAAATTTTGTGTAGATATCTTGTCAAATAAAAAGTTTTCCATACAAGAACTTGATTTTGATCCATCAGTTTGTATAACAGCTAATACGGGGTGTGTTCAAAGGAAAAGGTGAATTTTAATTTTTGAAAGTAATATTCATCAATATATATTTTGTCCCCTCAAAGTAATCCCCTTCGGATATAATACAACAACGCTTTTCCATTCTCAAGCACTTGAAATGCACTTTCGGTATGGCCATTAGCTATTCTTCGATTTTGAGACTTGATCTCATCAATTGTGGCAAACGCTTTATTTCATTGGTTTCTTCAGTTTGGGAATAAGAAAAGGAGGTAGAGAATAAATTTATAGCTTAAAATATCAATAATCTTCGAAATAGTATTATATAAGAATTTTCACAATATTTATAACAACAAGAACAAAATACTAACTCGCAATTGAAATTTCATTCCAGCTGGATTTTATTAAAACTAAACAAAATTTTTATTGACTAAATGCTAATACACATGCAATACGTTTTGTGGCTGCGAATTCGTGAGCCAATATAAATCAAAATAATTTCAATTAACACCTGACGCAACCGCATAGTGAATGTATCGTATATAACGTTATGAAGTGAACAGCTGCGGCAGCTAATGCCGCTTAAACACCCAACTACAAGCCGATAATGCACGCCGCACATAATTGCCGCACAGTGTGCAGAGGATTTCACTGCAACTGGAAATTGAATCACAAATGTGTCACACACACACACAATATATATATGTAGCGCGTGCGAATGCTGGCAATGAAAAATAATTTGATTAAATTGTCACTCATACGCCCGGGGCTGACTGCCGCTGGTTGTGGTCATTGCATTATCAACGCACCGCTGTTAAGCATTTAATTTTCATACAATATAATTGGGGCGATGTGGATGGAGGCGTGGTGTGTGGATTTTTGCTTGCTGAGGAGTGACGCGTTGACCACACTATGTTGCAGTGGTTTATGGACGAACCTCTTTGCAACTTCATAGATTGACTGTCATGCACTTACAAACACACATATATTCACCTACACATTATTTATACTAATACAAGTATATATGGCATATAAATGCATCTGCTTTTATTTTCATGCAAATTACCTACCACAGCAATCAATTTATCAATTACTGACCGCAGGATTCATGTGTACAAATTCATGCTGTGCCAAGACATAAATGCATTATTAGAAGATATATAGTACTACAAAAGAAGGGTGTCCGTCTGAGCAACCAATTTTCAGGCAAATTACTCATTTATTTCACATCGTACAGCTGTTTTGCTTGTATTGTTGTTGTATGTGTTGCAGTAAATACATTACTTCTGGCTATGCAATCAAATCAGCGCATATCAATCACTACTTTCACGGTCATCTGACTTATTTACACCTTTGCCAACTTTGCACTTCATACTTTTGTTTTGGTTCTAACAAATTATCTCCTTTTCTTTGTTTAGTAATTTGACCTAATTATACAAAATTTTCTTTATTTTCACTTTGCAGAATGCGACGTTGCGGAGCAGAATATTTCAATAATTCTAAATGGCATCGAATCGGAATTGAACTTCTCCACGGCCAACAGGATAACAAGGTGAGTGTAATGGCGCAGGATGCCATGTAAGAAGCTAATTGAGTGTAATATGAGCGATGAAAGCGCTTGTATAAAGAAATGGTGCAGAAACTGCAAGAACAAGCAGATTCTTGATTGCTTTTCATTTGACTGTCGAATGAGTTCAGTGTTTTGCTGAATTGACGCTATGATTGCGATTCGATGAATTCGACAGTGATTGGAAAGACTGCAATGAGAAGGGGGACACAATTGAGAGTGTGCAACAAGAGAGTCTGTATATAAAATAAACACCTGGAGGAACCTGTGCAACCATAATATTATTTTCTTAAAGGAATTCATTTAAAGGTTATATACATTTGGTCAGACAAAACGCTCCTTTTTGTTAACTTTTTTTTGAAGAGGCATTATATTTAATAATTATTAAAAGTCACCTTTGCACAATTAAATGTAACTTGTTTAATAATCGGGATGCGATCAGCGTTATGAGTGAGTCGATTAGTCATGTTTGTCTGTTTGTTTATGCAACCAATCCCTCAATTTTGAGATATCGATCCGAAATTTTGAACACGTGGCTTCTCCTTATTTGTCGGAACCGCGATATCGTACCACTTTAGCATATAGCTGCCATACAAAATGACCTATCAAAACCAAGTGAATTTGTATTTAGTGAGATATATTTAAGAAACTTCATAATTAGTCTTCGAAAATTTTTAGACTGACCACTATAGCAAATAACTGTCACGCAAACTAACCAATAAAGTAAACAAAGGTGTCATTGACCTGCAAATGTAAAAGAAGGGTCATTGACCCCATAATGTAAACAAAGTTGTTGAATTGCTAAACGTAAACAAAGGTTTGGACTTAGTTAACAAACAAGTCATTACTTATAAAATTTAAACAAAGGAGTCACTGACTCCGAAAATTAAAGGAATAAGTTGATGACCTATAATGTAAACAAAGGGGTCACTGATCGCATAAAATGGAAATAAAAGATAATTGACCTCTTAAAGTGTAAACAAAGTCTCACATGTTCCTATTTTCCAAGAAACTGCTCATACTCTGACCGCCATATCAGATAGGCTGCCATAAAAGTGATATATAAGTCTTTGATGTATTTTATTATTATTTAAATCGAAATTAGAAATTATTCCTTCATCTTACCTATATAAAGAGGGTCGTAGATTTCGTTGCAAAACGAGTTTTAAGTTTTCGAAAGTGATTACATTAATAGATTTTAAAAATACACATACCTCCCAAACTTATTTCCGACATTTCAAATTTCGAGAATATTTTCAATATATACATTTTATATATATTTTATGGAAAAAGTCGATTTTTAATTCACAAAGCGGTATAAACCCTTATATTTTACTTATATATTCTCACAGCCTTCAACTAAGAGCTCTTGGCAACAATGGTTAAATAGTAAAATGAGTTCCTAAGATATCAGGTAATACTGTGAAAATAGTTTTCTTATAGTTACATAAGGTTATGAAATTGACCTATTCCTCATTACCACCCAGAAGTCATAAGTAACCTTGACCACCCCTGAAAGCAAAAACAAGTTCATACTTGTTTCTTCACAGATGTATTGTTTTTAAAAAGCTCTCATTCAAATTTGATCGACAGATACTTCCAAAAATCGCTGATAGTTCTCGCTTCCATGAACAACTTTAGTAGTCACATGGCTATCAGAGCAGATGTCGAAAACAAAAGAAAATATTCCAATAGTATCACATTCAAATAAGCAACGAGTCTAAAACAGAGGTTGCTTGAGGGCTCCAAGGTTTTAGAGGTACCCTGGGATTCTCAAATGAATTATTGCTTATTGTACTGTCACTTTAAAGTCAAGCTCTTACGAAAAATTATACAAAAGCCAGTCATATTATAAACGAGTATGTCGGCAAACTTTTTAGTTAGGTTCTATTAGTCTGAATATTTTACAAATAGTGCTCATCTAATGGTACTATTGTTCAGCTGGAAATGCAAGTACATTTCCGTTGAAAACTCTAACTTGTAGCGTGTTGAATAATTCATTTGCCTTTTGAAATTGACCAGAAACCTTTTTAATTTTGCAAAACGAGAAAAGTGCGTCACTATCTAAGCATTCAGACTTCATTTGCTCTGCAATTCGTTGCAGAAAGTTCAAAATATGCATAATTTGCCTCTATCAAATTAATCTTCCACAACAACTTCGGGCAATCCATATCTGAAGCCACATTGAAAAATGAAAGAAATCTCACACAGATATGAAATGCACAACTACAAGCAATCTGTTGAACGATTTTGCCAGTTTATCATTTTCAAATGATTTTGCACTTGTACCCCAAAAGTGGCACACCTGTCAAAATTGTTGGTCCTTAAAACCAAATTTCCGTTTACCGTTTATCGCAATGTGTCCACTCGCTTTTCACTTGAGGGCATACAAAAGCACATATGCTAATCACAAAAGCCAAGGCAAACAACAAGCGACAACAAAAACAACAAGGGCCACCAAAGCACAAACAACACACATCAACTTTGACAGTCGAGGATTAGCAAATGTATTTGTGTGTGTGTGTGTGTGTCAAAGTGCATACATCTGCGCATATTGTTAAACCAGCGAGACAAAGTAGCAAAGCCTGCAGCGATTTGGTGGTCGCAAATATTTGGCAAAATGCGTTTGGAAACTGACGGTGAATGCATTTGATGGGAGTTGCGGGGAGCATAAGTTTTGACGCTTTGTACTGTTAGCAGACGTGGTTTATCATACTTGTGTGTCCAGTTATGTGCGAAGCTTATGAGTTGAGTATCGCTTGCACATTTACTGTCAGTTATCAGTGCAAAATGAGTACCTTTGTTATATACACACCATGAATAAATATGTTACGAGGTATGATAATTAGGTTTTGAGACTATCACATATTTCATTTTGATTACATACAATTTTGAATCTACTTATTTGCCTATAGATTGTACCTATATAAACACTGAATATCGAGATCTCAAAACTCTACACTCAAAAGAATGGTATGGAACAAAGTGTTCGGCTACGGATGCTCCAAATATTGTTGAATTCTAAAAATTAAAAATAAAACAACACCGTCACAAGCAAGGAGCATTTTATTGGCTGCGTGGTAAATCACGCAATCTCTTTGGCTGTTTCGAAAACTCCCTATCATATGTATGTTAGAACAGGCGAGTTCTTAAATTATGCTATAAAATAAAGTTTTACTATACTACAAGTTTTACAATAGCAAACTTGTTGTTAAACTTTTTTCATGGTAAAAATCGACAGATAAACTCTTCGCGTCGTAAACAAATGGTTGCCAAACACACACCAATTGACATATCGATCTCTATATCTTCACACGAACATAAAAAAGGGTTGTATCAATCTAGGAAAATATTTTTTGTTGATTCGGTGCACGCGCAGTTTAAATAGACAAGTACGGGTCAAATTTGATCAGTTGATATACGTAACTTATTATAGCTCAAAGCCTCTCGATATACAGTGAATCATTTTCCGACCGATATAAAACCTAAATCATAGATAAATATCCAGGTAAGCTTCTGACAATTATATCCGTCAGTTAATCGGAGGCGCTCGAAAACATAATTTATAGAATAACAATACCAAATCATTAAAAAAAGTCTCAAAATACTTCAGAAACGTTTATTTATTTGTAGTCAAAGTTATAGTTAGTGACAAATATGATTCTTCTTTTCTTACTGAGTTGTTCTCTCTTTTCAAGATCTATTTAAGATCAAATAAAACAAACTCCATACATTGACAGCGATTCCCACAAATGAGCAAATTCTTGAAGAGAAAAGTATGTGTGCAAAATTTCACATCAATATTATAGACAGACGGACAAGGCTAAATCGGCGCAGCCCATCATGCTGATCATGTATGTATATATTATATATATTTAATAGGGCCTCCGACATTTTCTTCTATAAATTACAAAGTTCGTGGCAAACTTGGGGGTTTGGGGTATAAAAATTTTACGTTAAAATGTTACCTACAATTAGACGCATTGATTTATGAACTCTAGCGAATTAAGAAACCTAAAACGTTCCAAATAATAGAAGGTATTTAAAATTCCAACGTGTTCCACGTAACTCGAACGCACCTGAATTTTCATGCGGTTAAAAACTGAGGTGTCGACTTCAAGCTTCAAATATGTGAATTTTCAGAATTTTCTAGCAGATACTGCAAAATTATTACAACAACAATAATATCCAAAAAAATATATATATCGAGAAAATTGTATGAGTTTTATAAAATTTCTAATTATGCAATAAATAACGCGTTTATCAATTTGAAATGCATTAAATACCAAAATGGCATCAATAAAATCACATTAATAGCAAACAATTCCACATAAAAGCACTTCAGATTACTCAAACCATTGCTCAAATGGGGAAAAAGCGAAAATCACAGCAAACAGAAATCAATTGAATATAACCCCAGAAGGCAGACGATATATCGTCGTACTTATACCGTTATTTGCCTCAGACATGGCCGCAGACACATCAAATTGATTGCGCTGAAACTGCAAATCACATTTACCTCTGATCGGCCAATGGGGGCATTAATAATGCAGACGGAAAGTTGAGTGCGACCGCGTTGGACCAATGCCAATTGTGAAAATACGACGTAGGAGACTATGCTGTATACTTCTATATAATCATAGATCAACCGCAGAGGCGACGAAACAGACGAAAAGTGACGTAAGCAGAAATATTTTTGATATACAAGTATATTGACAATAAGTGCAGTGACGCTGCAGAAAATGCAAAACAATGACAAAGAGCAAATTTCGACAATGTCACAATCGGAAAATAAAGATGTTCAGCGAAATATGCAGCGAAATGTGAAAACACAGAACAGCACAGAGGTACGGTTCGTTAGCATTTTAGCGACGCAGCTTGCAGCACGTTGCCGCGGAGGCGCAGTCAAATGTTAGACGTTAGCAAAATAAAGCAATATTTTATATTTTTCAACAAAAGCAAACGTGAGTTGAAAATTTAAGCAGCACACACACAAATACACAGAAATAAATATTTATCATACAATTTTGGAAGGGCATGACAAAAGGTCTGCGTATGCCTACAAATAAGCCGCGTACAGCCGGCAACGTTGGAAATGCGTTGCGTTTTTGCCATTCAAGGTTCACTTGGTCATAAATTACGAATGCCATGCCATATTTTTTGTTTCCAACTTCAAAAAGGCGCATTTTTTACGCATTCGTTCACTTCTTTACTTTTATTGGGAGTAAATTTTTTATACCTTCCAAAACTTTTAGGTCGAACATGACTTTAAAAATTTGCAGGGCTATTTTCTTAATATAAACAGAGTGTGTTCTAAAAAAGATGAGTGTCAATGCCTTAAAAGAATATTTTATTCAAATCCTCTCACGCGCCTCACCATGATACTAAATCGAAATTAGAGTAGTAATATTCACGAAGATACTGAAAATTTCTGATCTTTATAAGTCAATTTAATATAAGTATTGAAGATTATACCTACATACTCGAAAATGCTAAGCAAGGTGCATGTCTTTGATAGAATAAATAATTTGCGCCTGGATGTAGGCAACGTTACAAAATTTAACCAAATTTTACACGATTTGGTCTATTTAATCTGCACGCGTACACCGAATATATAAAACTTTATTTTCCTGGACTTGTACGACCTTTTTTATGTTCGCGTGAAGATTAAAGACGGGAGTCCATTGGAAACACAAAATTTCAAGCAAACCTGACGCGAAGGATTTTTCTGTCAATTTTTACCATAAAAACAATGTACAAAGAGTTTGCTTAAAATTTTCTGTTTCCAATGGACTCCCGGCAAAGAAATCATTAAAAATGTTGCATAAGTGCTTTGAAAAGTCTACGTTTTCATAAACACAAGTATCTGGGTGACACAATGATCGGTAAGTCATCGAAACTTGCCGCATGCGAGTCGTTCATCCACCTCTCTTCCTGTTAATTAAAAATAACAACGAGAGGGTTGCTGAAGATCGTCGCGTTGGCATCAGAAATATACCAGGATCTCTACATAACTTATGGGTTGACTCAACATATCGAGAATGGCGCTCCAAAAATACTGGATACTATTCTATTAGGCAATTATTTTTTAAAATTGTTGAAAAATTTAAGTTTACTTCTAACTTGTGCGTATTGAATATGCAGTTGTCTTATATGAGCGAAAAAAAAAAATTATTTTTTTTGTTTAGCCTGAGTGTAAAATTTGTAGATTATAAAAAAAAGGAAATTTATGGAAAAAATATTTTTTTTTAACATCTAGCCGCGGCACTTTTAAAGTAAATTTTTGAGTTAACATTTTTATTTCGTAAAAAAATTTTGATAAGTGTTTTAGAAGTTGTGGAGAGCTCTCATTCTGGCCAATTATCAACTTAAAAAAAATTTTTGTGGTCATTATTGGAGTTTTAAAAAAAGTCTTAAACGACAACATGCTGTCCTTAAGCGTTAAAATAAATTTTAAGTCAAAACCCGTCAAAATCGGTAATTTTTATAGAAATGTGAAGAGTTTTAACCAAAAAAAAATTTTTTTGTCCTTAAAAAATTTTAACTCGAAATTTATTTTTTTTCCAAAATGTTCCATTTTTTATAATCTACAAATTTTACCCTCAGGCTAAGTAAAAAAAAAAATTTTTTTTCACTCCACCCTAATATATATCTATATATGCATATCGACTTTTATGTATTTATTTATATCTAATTCTATTTCAGGATGAATTGGAAAAGGCTGATGCTTTTCTCGTCATCTACTCTTGCATTGACAAGGAGTCATTCACACGCGCCAAACATATACTTTCACGACTGCAGGATATGGATTTGATACGCACACGTCCGATCATTTTGGTGGCAAATAAAATTGATTTGGCACGTTCTCGTGCGGTTTCCTCACAAGGTAAGCGAAAATGAAAGTCGCAAAGTTGTATGCAGAATGCAATTGCACTAGAGAATGCAGAGCAAACAAAGTTTTAAGAATTTAATGAATAAAGGTTTTATGGAAAAAAAGCGTGACTTAAATGGTAACATTTAGTGACTCGAAACTCTTAGCTTTTTGTTTTCGGGAATAAATATAAGGCTTTCCGAAATTTTAATAAAATGTTTCCAATTAAATATAGCACAAAAAATATTCATATTATAATTTATAACTGCTTCCTCAGCTACAAAAGTATTCTTGAAAAAAAGAAACGCGCTCTTCAAGTATTAGCGATAATTTTCCACGCGTTGTGAAATTTTCGCAAATTAACGGTAATTCGTTGCGTGCTTCAATAAGCTTTCCATTGCACAGTAGCATACTTTGAAGCGTTGCAAAAATATATATATATATAAGTACATGTATATGGGTAAGGGCGTAGCTAATTGGTTGGCTTTACGCGCACTTGAAAGCGCGTTAATTAGAAGACTTGCGCCGTAACGGTACATTTGAGTTGAGTGTTTAATCAAAGCAAAAGCTTACGAAATCAAGTGAGGCTTTAAGAATCGCTGATGTGATGAGAAATTTTTATTCTCTAATACAAGTCTGGCACTAAAGCACTTTGCTATTAAAGCTTTCCATGCGCTTTTTAAGTAAGTTTTCTAAAAAGAATTTCTAAGAAACCAAACATGTAAAAGCAAATTTTAAGCAAAACTTTGCTATAAAAAATTTTTAGAAAGCAAAATTGCTTTGGACCACCCATACATAGATTTATTTGCTTTAATGGCACTTACCTCTACCACTCAAGTTCACATTGCATCACAAAGTTTGACTGCCAACTACATAAAACTACTACAAAAATCTTTTGAACATGACAAACTTCTGGCATACCGTCTTATCGAAATAACTGCAGTAGTGCAAGGAATGTCAAAATGGAAAACGAAAGTAGATAGGCAAGGGAATAGCGAAAGAGATTTCGCTTTGGGAGAATGCGTGTAAAGCAAAGTTTTTCAATTTGTTCTTTTTTTTTATGATGCCTCTAACAATGTTGATACAAATGCCTGTGTACTCACTTATTGCTTTTCTCTTTAATTTTATTTCACTTTCCGCTTTCTATTACAATTCGCAGATGGCAAATGCGTCGCCTGTACTTTTGGCGCCAAATTCATTGAAGTCTCGGCGGGCATCAATCATAATTGTGACGACTTACTAGCTGGCACTTTGACACAAATTCGTCTCAAAAAGGATCAAAATTTATTGCATGTAAGTGTGGCATTAAAGTGTCGAATTTGTGTTGTCTCTCGTCTATAGGCACTGAAGAGTAGTAGTATTAGTGCGTGTATGTGTGTGTGCTTTAGATAAATTAGCAAAAAAAAACAATATTGAAAATATGTTACTACTACTGCCGCAAAGTGTCGCAGGTGTACATATAAGAAAATATTTAAAATTTTATTTCCCATGGTAATTTTATTTTAACTGTCTGTCAGGTGTGGCAAGCAGTTAAGTCCAACGAATAATTGGCGTTCACAACTCTACAACTTAATACATTAACACACACATAACCAAAACAGTTTCATAATATCATATAATATACTCCATATTCGAAATAATTAATGCTTCTTATTCTTCTTGTTCTTCTACTTTATTCATGCCGTCGATAACTACTATTAATACGATCATCATTTCATACATGATTGCTGAAATCATTTCATAAATTTTCTGAAACCTGATATTGTCTTTGCACACGCTTTCATTACTTGTATTATTTTAATGACCATTACTTTAACAACTACCTTTTCCATTACCATTACAATTAACAATTAAAAACACCACCACTATTTACTTTTATCAATTATACAATAAATAACAATACGATTACAAATACAAAAATCATTGCAAGTTGCTATATCAATATGTTTACAAATGCAAATACCATTACAATTACAACATCAATACAATTACTGTTACTTTCAATATTTATAATCATAATAATTATTAATAATATAAATTACATTATCATTACCAATACGATTACAAATGCAAATACCATTACAATTACAATATCAACATGATTACTGTCATCAATTATAAAAAATAAACGAATTTTTTTTAATTGAATTTACAAATACTTAAAATTACAATTATTAATATGATTATCAACGTCATTTCCAATTGTAAAACTTAATAATATAAAAAAAATTTTTACTGTTACGGTCATTAATTAATAATTTAAATTTATTAAATTATTTTAATTTTTTTATGACATTATCTACCATTCCGTTTGATTTTACCTTTTCCATTACTACTTTTGTACTTATTATCATCAATAACATAATCATATCTGCTATTTATTTCTACTACCACAATAATTACACTACTAATTGAATTCTTCTGTTACTGCAAAAAATAACGTGTGTAATTGTACTAAAATAACAATTACTTTTACAATTAACATATCAATTTCAACTACATTTCTGGTAATCATTACAATTATAAACATATTTTATGCATATCTAATTTTTGGCAACCAATATATAACATTTACTATAATCATTACCAAACCAACACCATTACAATTATCACTACCATAACTATAAATATTACTATTTTCTTTTTGATTTTCATTTATCTTATGACTGAAATACATCACCATTATATATACAATTACCATTACATTGACCGTTATCATTACCCATACTATTCTTTACAATTATCACCCACATATTTGTGATTTAAAAAAATTCTGCCTCCCCGACTTTACTCCGGATGTAACAACCATTATAACCACTACTGTTCGAAATTACCCCTAATAACTTGATTGGCTTATTGTTGTTGCTCAACTCTTGAAAACAAAAATTCTCGCCCTACCCTCAAAACTATTATTTTATAATAAAAACCTACGTCACCCTTGAACAGAATCCAGATGGTACTTCACGTACTGGTTCTAAGAAATCCAAAGACAAGCATAAAGATAAAGACAATAATAAAATAAAAGAAAAAGAAAAGGTTATAGACAAGGCTTTAGAACACAATGGCGCTGATTGTGTAAATGAAAAAAACCCTGAAAATTTGGTGAGTAAATAAAAATCAATTAACCCTTTCCTTCGGTCCAATTGTAAATACTTACTATACTCTATAACCTCTCGTTGTAAGAAAAATTTTTCTACGAGAGATTTTTTTGCTTAGAAAGCCATGTATATTTAAAAACAGAGGTGTTTTCATATCAGTTTAGAAAAAAAATATATAAACAGTAGATATTTAGATTAATTGTACACTCTATATGTATTTATTTATATGTATATACCTATATGTAAATATATATATATATATTTATATAAATAGTAAAAACTTATGCATGTTTATAATTTAATAAATCGATACTTGCTTTAATTTTTGATAAAACTTTTTCCTATAATAGTGATTTCAATAGGAATATGTCTCATAAAAAAATGGAATATGCTCATATTTTTTCTATATATAAGTCGGACTAGCTGGTCCGATTTAGGACTGACAAACGAAAGATAAACATAACAAGTGAACAATGCATAATTCACATGTTTCAGTAACTCTTGAGAATCTTTAAAAAATGGTCACCAAGAATAAGATTGTCAGAATTTTTGCTAAGTGGGATCATCAATTAAAGCTATTCACTGATATTGAATGATCCGAGAATTAAAGAAAAGGGAAATTAGCAGTACTACAAATTTGCAAAATCGTGACACGATAAAATTTTGTCTAAAAATATGTTTTTCTTACAAACGATATGAACTCTTTCTGGTTAACATTTTAATTGACAAGCTCCAAAATAGCAATATTTGAAAACCAATACGACAAAACAGAGACAGAAATATGCTAGATAGATTTATAAGTAAACACAGTACTAGGTCTAGTATGAAGAAATCCATAACTTTTTTTTTAAGATGGTTTTAGTGATAAGTATCTGGCGTTATATAAGAGTGAATGGTTCACTTTCGGCATTATCGGAATTGTGTTCAACCAGGTCACACACATCGATTGTGACTCGCCAGAAGCTCTGGAAGTTTTGTTGGGATATTTTTATGCTATATGCCTTATTTGGAATTGGATCCAGTGATTACTACTTGCTCCTGTCAGCGGCGAATAATTTTGCTGGCGGAAAATTCACCTGAAGAAAAGCTTATGAAAATCGATTGTCACAGTTTCTTGCCAGTAGGGACAACAGTTTCCATGAAAGTGGCTTTCAGAACTTACCTTCAAAATGACAACAAGCTATCGAACAAAACGGTGCAGATTGACTTAAATTAGAACATTCTAACTGTGCTAAATAAAAACTTCAATTTAATGCAAAAATAATATATTTCTTTTTAATCAACCTTATATATTATTGTATATAATATTTAGAGACCCACAACCGCAAACACTTTGTGGTACTTCGAATTAGAAGCTTTAAATAATGCAATAATTTTTTTTCTTTTGATAAAGTAAAGTAAGCTTTGAGTAGAGTAAATAATTACGAAGTTGTTAGATTTTTGAAATAACTTTATATAAATATTGTTTGAACTCTTAATATAAGTAGTATTTTAATAAACTTTTTTTAGATATCTGTGGTGCATAATCTGGAGATGTATAACTTAACTTAAACAACTATACTTTTTTGTTCCAAATGTTCATAAATTATAAATATTTATATAACAAATGTATATGTAATTATTACCAAGTATATAACTCTCAATTTTACATACAGAAATCCAATTTTCACCTCCTTAACTATAATTACAACCTACTACAGTCATCTTTTATATAATCTAACTATTCTTATAACTGTTTTTTGCTCATACTTAATGTTGATACTGTAATTATAAATTTAAATATAAAATTTCTAATCTCAAAACGCACTTTCAGGGCAATCGAGATGGCGCTTCCTCGCCAGCGCACTGGTATAAGAGCCGCAGCGTTGTATTGGCCAGCATGAAGGCACGCCAAATGCTCACCTGGATACTGGGTAAAGAGGATTCGAAATTTAAAAATTGCGAGAATTTGCAAGTGCTCTAAAAAGCAATACAACTGAACGGTTGAGAAGGGCAAATAGAAATAAAAATGAGAAGAAACAAAAAAGAGTAAACTAAATCAAAAATTGGACTGTCTGAACAAAGTGAAGAATATAGTTACTATAACGGGACACTTGTGTGTATATAAAAAAAAATTACATGAAATATATATATGTATATATATGTAACTAGCTAGATGTATTGAACTTATCTATATATGTACAATATATTTATAGATGTGTATATAAAAATATATATTTACTCCGACTTTGTGAGTTTAGGTTAGGTGTGACATGAATCAATATTCTTATACCGAGATATATAGTTGTAGGTACATGTATTTGCTCCATAAATTTAAATACTGTTTTTTTTTTCTTAATAAATAACAGCAAATAATCATTAAATGGCAAAACTTTAACAGTAGCTTTACGAACCAAAGCAAAGCTCTTTCCTGGCCAAAAGCTTGCGAGCATGCGCATTTGCGTTCAAACCAATACCCACAAAATGAAACGTAGCACTTTCAGAAATACCGGTTTCGTTTTAAATTTAACTCAACAATAGTTAATAGCAATGTCTAATGTGTATTTATAAAATGTAATAAAAAAATTGTTATGAATATTAAAGTAATTAAATATTTGTATAATTATTAACAACAAACTATATGTACTTGTAGAATGAAAAATTATATATATTTATGTAAAAAAAAATGTTCAAAAAATTATAGTCTTGACTTTAAAACTCTTTGGAGAATTTATTTCAAGCATGCAGCTAAAGCTATTCGAAATTTTTGTATAAAAACAAACTCTTGGCAGCACTGCCGCTAAACCGTTATTAAGGAATTTGACAGCATCAGCTGATTTGCTGACGTCAGAATAGCAACTAGGCTCAAGAAGTTTGTTGTAGACCTTTCCTCGTTATAAAAAACTTTAGCAACTTGAAAATATACAAATTTTGGAAAGCAAATCTCGTCTGGAATTCAAAATGTTTACTCAATAGCTAACTTTTTTAGTACTTTTTCACTCTAGATAACTTCCTTATGTCAAAAATACATTTACTTATTGACACTTCTTCTAGAATTCAAAATATCAAACTTTTTCGCTGAAATCTCTTCTGGAATCTTCAAAATACCTCTTCATTTCTATTAGTTCCAAAAATATATATACTATAATATAATATTAATACGAAATCAAAAGTAAATAAGTAATTTAGGCATTAAGTGAAATAACTGTACATAATAGCACGAAATCATGAGCTCAGTAAAGCTTTACAAAAGGGAAGAAGTTTGAGTAATAATTAAAAGTATAATAATTTGACAATGCAATTTTCTACAAAGTGTACTTTGATTAGAAATGTATGTATTTAATTTTTGATTTTGTATATTATATATTCATCAAAGCATTCTTCCCTTGCTTAGTTTTTAAGAATACTATTTTATAAATCAGATAACTAATGTGCTAACTATAAGCAACTATATACCTACTATATACAGATATATTTCTGCCAAAGTGCCCATTTCTTAAATGAAAAAAATTCGTATTAATTACAATTATTGAAAAAATATGTATGTGAATGTATAGACTATACCCAATGTTTTTCTAAAAGTAAACTGTTAACAAAACTCTATTATATTTAGCTAAGTTACTCACCAAAAACAATTTAATATCGACAACTACATATATAGAAGTTCATTAGTTTTGAAAAGGTTTTTTTATGCCTATGTAGACTATAGAAACTATTTTGTTATTATTATTTTTATTATTACATACCGTATAAAGAGTAAGTAGAATTTTGAACAGAAAAAGCAACGCACTGAAGAAACGTGAAATAGTGCAGTCTTTTGGCAACACTATTAACTCGCTTGCATCAATAAAAATGACTTCCAACAATATGCAACAAAATCATAATATATCCCGACTACTTTTCAGATTAATTTAACGATTTAAAACATATATAGAACAAGCATTAAAAGAGAAGTTTTCAGTTGCTTAAGAGGCACCTCTAGTATGGCAGAATAAAAAAAGGCGATTTTTGGGAATTTGAAAATACGGTAACAATTGCTTTAACATTTTAAGTGAACATTTATACATGTTTTGAGAATACACAATAAAAATTTGGAAGAACAAAATTGAATATTTTTCGAGTTACACGCGAACTCCGACGGCGCTAACAAACTGGAGTCTACTGCTGCACCGATTTTATATTTTGCATAGCTGAAACCTAAAACACAAGATTTTCTACTTGAAGATATTATCCTTACAATGACCTGCGATCGAAAAGCAAAATTTAAAAATTGACAAAATGGCGACGTATTAAAAAAACCTTAAATTTTGGCTTTTTTGGTAGGGTGGAGCGAAAAAAATTTTTTTTTTTGCTTAGCATGAGGGTAAAATTTGTAGAATATAAGAAATGAAAATTTTTGGAAAAAAAATTTTTTTTTAACATCTTGAGGACAAAAAAATTTTTGATAAGTGTTCTAGAAGCTGTGGAGAGTCCACTTTTTGGCCAATTAAAAGTTATCAACTTAAAAAAATATTTTGTCCAAAAAAATTTTAAAATTTACCGAAATTTACTTTAAAAGCCTCTACATGTTAAAAAAAAAATTGTTTTCCAAAATTTTCCTTTTTATAATCTACAAATTTTACTCTCAGGCTAAGCAAAAAAAAACAAATTTTTTCATTCCATCGTACTGTTTTGGCCAACCTTGATTATGAATAATACTGGTCTACAGTGGTTTTATTGCCCTAGATATAAGATCGCATTTGGATATATTTGCGCTAGTTTATTTTTAAATGTTTATTTTCATTTTACATTACAAAAATTAAAAAACATGAAACAAATTAACAGATATATTTATAATATCTGTTTTTTTGAAAAATAAGGATTTATCTAAGTAAACAGAGAGAAAATTGTCGAAAACATATGTTATATCTTAATTAAATGCGTTTTATAAGCTTTTCCTTTATAATTTTCCAGTTGACAATCTTTTTTTAAGGATCAGCCGGAACGAACCCATTAACCTTGATAGCTTTCTTTCATCATTTTTAGATCTTAGTGGAACCGCTTTCTCTCTCTGTTTCTCACTATTATTTCCTAAATTATTCAAAAATGTATCCAGATAATTGCAGATATAATCTAACTGGATATTCATATTTTCACTTAATACCTTGAAGTTTGTCGGCATATTTTGGACAATTTATTCATAATTTGGGTATTTATGGTTACTTAGAAAAATTTCGACTACTAACAAACAACCTTTCCAAGCTTCAATTTCTGGAACAGTCATAACCTTGATAAAATTTGTATTTTTCAAGAATCGCTGTATTTGAGGACCAAAACTAACTTTCGACTCCTCCATAGCCAGTTTCGGAATTTTCTACAAATGTAATTAAAACAATATTCTTCGAAGTCCAAAGCTTTGAAAAATTGCTTTATCATTCCTAACTTTATCACGTATTAAATCACTGAGTTCTTTTTTAAAAAATAAAATAACTTTGGCGTAGATATTTCACCCTCGCTTTGCCACTGGAGGAATATACTGATTTCCGCGAATTTGACGCCATCATTGCTTCTGAAGGAATGCGAACTACTTTTGAAACGCAAAAGGAGTTCATTGAATAAAACCAGGCATTTACTAAACGGTAGGTGTTTATATCTTATATAAGATATTCTGAGCAATAAAAAATATATATTTTTTATAGAGCTATGTAATCTACATTCAGAACAAAAAACTGATAGGTCATTAAATGGAGAACTATGAACAGAATATGCAGAAAATTGATAGTGTTCGGATAATTTGTCTTCGAGTAATCACACAAGTAAATTTGAAGGACATTGTTTTGAGAAAAACGCGTTTAAAAATAAACCGATGGATCTGTTTGAACTGAGGATTAAACTTTAGAAGGACGTAACTCAAAAACTCTTTGAAATATCGATTTAAGAACGAAATATAAAAAAAGTCGATTTTTTTTTTTAATTTCACACTAGGTGTGCCTCTTAATAATACATAAGTATACGAAAATATATGCTGAAAAATAAACTACTATTGAATTATTTATTACTTTTTGCACAAACTGTACACTTCTATACGAGCTGTGTTCAAAGGAAAAGTTGAATTTTGAATTTTTTTGAAATGCTTTTTTACTCATTAATATTTGTTTTTTCCCCTTCAAAGTAATCCCCTTCGGATATAATACACTTGTGTCAACGCTTATTCCTATCCTCGAAGCACTTCTAAATTGCACTTTTCGGTATGGCCATCAACCCTTTCTTCGATTCTGACTTGATCTCATCAATTGTGGCAAAACGCTTTATTTCATTGGTTTCTTCAGCTTTGGGAATAAGAAAAAGTCGCGGGGAACCAAGTCTAGTGATTACGGTGGTTGAGGTATGATTACGATTTTTTTCTAGCCAAAAAATCGATATTAATGCGACATTGCTTTTGCTTAAAATTTAGCAATTTCGGAACACAAGCTTAGCTGCCACTCGAAAAAATTTAATGTCATGAGCCGATTGATATGGCAACATCCTCTGCAACTTCCCTAATAGTGATTCGACAATTTTCAAGAACGATTTTTTTCACTGTTTCTATGTTTTCTTGCTTGTTCACGTGGTCGCACCACCAGGATCCTCATTGTCATCAACATCTTCTCGGCCTTCTGTTAAGCGCTTGTACCACTTATAAACACTTTTCTGAGACAAAGTGGACTCACCGAATGCCACAGTCAATATTTCAGGTGCCTTGAAGCACTTTATTCCATTTTCAACGCAAAATTTAATATATATACAATAAATTATCATATTCTTTGATCCACTCATTTCAAAAGTCAAAAATCGAAGAGCACACAAAAACGTGACCAACCTTTTTTATTGTGAAAAACAAACTACTAATCGAAATTGGCTCCTAATTCAAGCACATGATAAAGATATGTGTCCGATTATAACAAAAACCAAATATCGATAATCAAATGTACACAGCCCGCGAAAAATCAAAATTCACCTTTTCCTTTTAACACACCTTGTATATTATTTTTATTATTGGTTTGAGTCTGTTAAAAAAAAAATATTTTTGAATTAATAAATAAATATTTTTTAATTAATAAACACTTTTTAGGTTAATTTGTATTTAGTTATGTTAAAAAAGCCTTAAAGTGTATTAGGTTTACTAACTTGTGTATTTTAAAACATTACTGATGTTGAGTTTTTCTTTTTATTTCATTTTATTTCTACCATGTGAGAGTTTGAGGTTTCTATTAACACTTCAGTTAGAATAAAAGCTATAAATAACTATAAGAATAAATACAAAAAAATAAATAAATTTGTGCAATGAAAAATAATAAATTAAATTAATTTGTTTTGCTTACTTATATAAAAAATATTATTTAATGCTAATCAGTACTACACACTTATATGTATAACAGTATTTAATTACATACAATATTTGCGTAAACATCACTTCAAGAATTCTTCCAACTCCGCCAAATGATGTTTTAGTATTTCAGCTTTTATATTAACAATTTATATTTTAATTTTCAATACCAACAAAAATGTAAAAAAAAAAAAAATATGTTTCCTGATTTCATAATAGGTAACTGCCAAACCCTTCAAAAACATCAAAAATACTTTTTATGCAAAACTAATTATGCTGGATTTCTGCAATTTTTTCCACTCAATCATCCACTAGTCACTACCACATTCGAAATTTGGTTTGTTAACAACAAAAATTTATATATCACATATATGTATGTACATATTTGTCTTCCGTACAAGTATTTATAAATTAACTGAAATTTTTTTCATATTGACATATGTGCGTATGTAATTAAAAATCGCAACTAAATGCAGATACAAACGCTGAAAAAGTTGGAAAATAATTATTTTATAGCATAAAGTCAATAAGTACAACTTTTCGAAATGAATTTATTGATGGAAAATGAAATAAAATATCAAGGGAAATTTCAAAAGGAAAAATGGCTGACATGTTTTGTGAGCAACCAACTAGCCATGCAGAACATTTATAAATATTAACTGCTGTACAGATATATGTACACATTTGAAAGTAAAGCATGAGTATACATAAATATTTTGCAACACAAAAGGAACGCGCAAAATCAACAATAAATCAAGTGGAAGCAACAATAAACAAGTATTAATAGTATTTCTCTTGAATTGATGTGTGTATGTATGTATGCATGTATAATATTAATAAAAAAACACCAATACAAATCAATAGCTATTACTTAACAGTAAAATGTTTACTCTTTTAAGTTGTATTGTGTATTAAAAAGTATAAATAAAAATAAAAAATAATTATGACTTCAAAAAAATTAAAAAATAAACAAATTAAATATTATATAAAATAAAGCGAAGAAAATAAATGTTTCAATTAAATTGTTGGATTAGCACTTTTATATAGAGTTTTTTAAACATCTAAAAATTCTAAAATAATCGTAAGTATACCAGAAACGCACAAATAACGGTAAAAAATTAATAAATAAACTACATGTTGGTTGAAAAGTTTCTGCGCTCAAAATTAAAAAATACTGTTTTTGGTACGAAATATATATTTTTAATTCAATACAATCTCCTTTAACTTTAATACATTTATTTTAATGAGCCTCCAATAATTTTATGCCATCCCTATAATGACTTTCCGGAAGCTCTACAAAATACCCGCCTGTACCTGGCGTTCGTTCGACGAAAAACGATTTCCACGAAGGAATTGTTTCAGGTTTCTGAAGAGTAAGTAGTCGCTGAGAGCCGAATATGGTGATTACGGTGGATGCTCAAGCAATTCGTACTTTAATTCGTTGAATTTTGTCATTGTTAAGACACCTTTGTGAGCAGGTGAATTTTCTTGATGAAAAATGGTTTTTGCAAACCTGGTCTTTTCTGACGAATATTTTCATCCGGCTGATTTAAAAGGCTGCATTAAATATTACTCAGAGCTTTTTTTTAACCTTTCTGCGGATAATCAATCGAAAAAATTGATTTTGCATTCCAAAAAACTGATGCCTTCACCTGCTTTGGAGCTGAACAACCAGCTTCAGTCCACTATAAGCGTTCTTCTTTCAATTTAGGATTATGGTGGTAGATCTAAGTCTCATCCATAGTTATAAATCGATGCAA